GGTTTCAAAGCTTCCCATCATGTTGTATACAATATTCCCCCAGAGGGTGTGTATGTATTACTTACCATGCACATACTACCTTGGTGGTGTATACAGATCGGCTTGGTGTATCTGCATGTCAGATGTTAACTCTTAAAAGCATATAGCTTTCTTTGAGCTGGCATGGGTTTTGCATGGCTTTTGCATGGCTTTTGAAACAACTTTTTTTTTTTTTAATGTAGCGGTACATCCTGGGTTTGGTGCTTTTCCTTTTTGCCAAAAACATCAGCTTCTTTAACTGATTGACAATACGTGGAGATGGAAGGTAGTTCTAAAAACCTCACTGTTTTTTCCATTAACTTAAAAAAGAGCAAGTATTAGCCGCCATCAACTCAAGTAAATCTGACATGATTTACTTGTCCCCATCCTTGCAAATTTGCTGAGACACAGGATAGTGTCATCCCCACTGCTCTGCTGAGTCTTGACTACTTTATTGACTATACTGACTTGAGAGAGAAGAAAACTCCACTTTCAGAAATAATTGGTTCTTCGTCATTAGAAATAACGGAAAAAGTATATACTTGCTATTTTTCAGATGTTATGGAGTATTGCATACATCCAAACAAAACTCCAGAATGCTTAAAAAGCCTCAACTTCAAAACAGCCTAAAAAGCCATTAAAGTAAAACCTGCTATGGATAGTCTTTCTGACAAATTACAAGAACCACTGATTCTGATACCTGTGTCTTATGATCCATCTTTAGTCCAGTTTCTACTGCTGTCTAATGCATGCTGACAATTACAACCAGATCTGTGCTATGAATGTAAACTGAATCAAATAAAGTAGTTAACGTCAACAGTTTTCCTAACTTAAGTGGATTTATGGAATAAAGGCACTGAAAGCAGGAAGGATAGAAGCTATCTGTAATGACTTCCCTCATACTTTTTGCTTATTTTCAGATCTTCCTCATCACTAGAACACAACATCCATACGCACTCAGCAGAGTGCGATTTTTATTTCCCAAAAGAGGTAAACAAGTAATCTCTAATTTGAACTCTTGTAATGAGCTCTTCTTGATTACAATAAATATTTATATGAAAACAACATTTTGTATTTCTCAGCCATTCAGTCCCAAAACCAAGACACTACTAGATCGAAAAAGTTCAATTTCTAAACAAAAATCCAACTCTTTTGTATTTTGGCCAGTATCTTAGAAAACAAGTAAAAATTGTAATTACAGAAAATGCAGTAAGTATGGAGGAAAGAAAATAAAGAGGGAACAAAAAGTGGCAAGAATATATGACAAAACACACTACTAAAAACTTAAGCCAAGTTTCTGTAACGTTGCCAAATACATTCCTCAGTGGCATCTTCTGAGGGACACTCTACCCCAGTCCCACATCCTTACTAACTGCAGCGAAGCGCTGCACAATGAGATGTGCACATCACTTTGGGATGGAGGAAGAATTACTCATTCCAAGGTTCATTCTGATGAATGAAGATCAAAACCACTGAGTAACCCTGTTCACTATTCCCAGATACTGGAGCCACATCAAGAACACCTGCTGGATATTGCTAGTTCAGGAACCAGATTGTGTATCAGAGAGATTTGCTGTTGGAAATGCAACTTGCCTTGTGAAGCGTACAATGTACGACAGAGTCAAGGACACTCATGGGTCAGTATCTCATTAAGGTGTTTATATCGAAAATATATAAAAAAAATTTCACACTGGATCACTCACTGGTTTGAGGATGTTTCAAATCCACAATAATTTCCTCAGTGGACCTTTGAGAAAGTTGCCTCCTAATAAAAAGAAACCTTTACATACTTCAAAAATAGTATTCTTTGAACACAGCCCTTGAGACTTGCCTTGAAATGCAAGCAGGTGGTTTTGAACTATAAATTGGAAACCACAGCAGCTTAAGGGAATTCTGTACAAAACTTGGAGGATTTTCTGTAGTTTCTTTTTTTTTTTAATGTGTACAGTTGGAAGATATAGGTGAATATCTATCAGCTATCTGTGCATCGAATTGCTTTCAAATTACAACTAGAACATGCCCTTATG